ACAAGTGAAGGGCCCAAATGGCGGTACGATTCCCCTTTTTTTTTCCCCGTGGATTGATCCCCACAATTATCTCATTTTTTCGGGATATAGCCGTGCTGCTGCACGGCCTACCAACGATTCCCCTCAACTCAGTGACGCGTGTAACATATGTAAATTTGAGCTCAGTCCGGCACTTTCCGTGCTTACACCGTTCGACACGTCGTCCGCTTCTAACGCGTTCATATCTTTATCCTTGTTTCTGCGTCCTTTGCTCTCGATTGAATTGGAGGGCGAGCGGATGCCATATTGACACTATGACCTGATTAGGAATTCCCCCTTGAAGTTCAGGTACGTCCTATTGTCTTGAACTCTGCCCGACCCGAGGTTCAAAGCATGCTGGCGAAGTTCGCATGACCGGCGCTGTCATTAGCGCAGCCCGTCGTAATCAGCAGAAAGTCTGCATGAGTTTGATTGATTTCCCGTGCTATTTCGGATGGCAATATACTGTGAATGAGGAGGTCTCAGTAGGAAATCACTACCTAAAATTTGATTCCTGGCCAAATGCCAATATGTCTGACATATGGACTCGAGCTTGAAGCCTTGATGACCTGACTACGATGGTCGTTACTTTGCTTATATAGCAACTCGCGGTAATCAATTTTGTTTGTGCAGGTAACTTGATGACGTCGTGTCAGGTAGTAACTGACCAAATTATGGTCTTCTCTGCAGCAACACTACGTCATGGCACCCTCAGTCCTGTTCTCAGATCAGATTCCCGCATTGTGTGCGCGCTTGATACAGCCTCTGGTGAGTTCACGTCGCTGCACACAGAACTCGAACTACTATCTGTACGATGATGGCTCTCTCGTTTCAAGCACCCGACTGATCATTTACTACAGTACGCTACCAAGAACCACATTCGAAGGGATTTATTATTGGGCATTTGAACATTGATATCAATTTGTAGGTACGAGGTGAGTATACGGTAGGTCGTGCTATAAATTGTTTCTCTGTAGTGGCCGACAGGTCTTGCCGTACAGTCCAAAGTGCGCTGTGCTAGTGGTTTCAAACCTAAGCATAGTCGTAAGCATAATATGATCCCGTTCCCTACGGTAATCACAACGAGGAATAAATGGCCACGGCAGCCGTTCTGTTTCCTAGGGTAGCCATACTGCTCATGTCTTTGAGCTTCGCTTCCTGTATGCAGACCCCATTGTGCTGCATACCGTCATAAGACCAGACTGTCCTTTGCTTGTCGACCAGTCTCGCAGTGAAATGGTAATCACCGTAGTAAATGACTCCAGCAAGCTTGTATGATGCTTTATCCGTCTCGAAGTCCATGGCCACGCTCTTTGATATGTCCGTGGTTTGTGTGACGTTCATTGCGAACAGTTTGGGAGGAAGGTCAATGACAGTGACTTTGGAGTGTACGAGACCACCACACGAACATCTCTCCCGTACGGGATGACTGACGAAGCTGCGTGCTATTCCCGCCGTACTGCTTGCTGTGGACGAAGAGCTTATAGGCATGTCGAAGACAAGAGAATTAATGGTGTGCTCATGCTGTTTGTGGCCGCAGCTATTGCACGCATGTACTCTCATCAATGGTCCCTGTGGACAGTACAGGAACAATTCGCACAAAGACGATACCGAGGTGCCTGAGCTGTTGCTCACAGGAAACTCCTCCGGTTGTGCAGCGTTTGCCGCTACTTGTAAAGCTGCTTTTGCGATATCAGGGTCTTCCTGCACTCGCATCCATGTCTCAGTGACCAATCTGGTATAATTGTTAAGTGGATTCACCGACTCCATCCAGGCCGGTGTGTGTGATGTATACAGGAGATGCATGATCGTGAGCAGCGAATCATAAGCACAAGATAAGGTATCTGCAGACCACCGCATACCTGCAGGTGCAGCTATATGATTCGATATCGTCTTTCCTCGCCGCCTGGAGAAGGGCTCGTCATTGGTGTTCGATAATGTTGTGGTGCCTTTTGCAGGAACGTAAGAGCTTTGTGCTTTTCGTGCATGAACACTCTTATGCTCCCTATCGTTGACTTTGTTACGGACCACTTCCCATCGAGATGTCTTCTCTTCAGATAAACGTATAGGACTGGCTTTGGACCACCTAATTGCTGGATGTATACCAGGGGGACACCAGTCGGCACCCTTCCAGTCCTGAAACGATCGGATGAGGGCTGACCTTGTCTCCCCAGTGACGTTCTCTGGCAGGTTGCCTTCGTAACGAAGTTTTGTGATGACATTCAAGAGCTCTAGCTGCTGGAACTCTTTCCGAAGCTGCTCTGAAATGCGTCCCTTTGCAACTGCTACCGGAACAGGCCTCACAAGGATTGTGCTGCTCCACGATGTTCCACGGGACAGGCAAGTGTATAATGATTGATGATTTCTACATTCAGCGGGATCAATTGGGTTGTATTCTCTACTTCGACCTTGACTGCCATAATCGGTCATACCGAAGTTCAATACTACGGGTACTTGGGTGCGTGATATCCTTACTTTTGAATCGTCTGGGAGCTGCACTTCGATAGATTTTACGTACGCGCAGACAGGGACGATATTATCTGGTAAGCCGTCGACTTTGACCACTGTTGCACTTAGCTTCAGTTTCACAAACAGTGTGTCAAGTGTTTCTTTACCGTCACCAAATGAATGTGCCAGCCATCCAATAACGTGACCTTCTGCGCCGTTAGTGACACCTGCCTCTGTCGCTTCATTGTGTTTGATTAACACAGGCATGCCTATGCATAGCGCTAGTTTACCCGGATGGTGGTCTGTGCGTGCCGGATATACATCCCACAATACCTTTTGCATTGCCATGCCTACTTCGTCTGAATCTCGAATAACATCTGCGCTGGATATTCGTTTGCGCTTGGATGGGTTGGCTTTATCTGGTGCAGCACTAGACCAGCGATCGAGAGAATGGAACGTATGGAGTGCTTGACCAGTATCCCTCGCGAATGAAGGGGCTCCTAATTCGTTCATCTTGTCCCGAGCAGCATTCCACGCAGTGATAATCGATACATGCCGTACATTTTTGTCGTAGATGTGCGGCTGACTCGGAGCCCGACCTGCAGCTCTGGCATTCATCCAATCTACCTGCTCAGTAGTACATGCAAAATATCTCAGATCATTCAATATCTGTCTGAAACGAATATCGTCGTCACTTGCTCCCTGTTGTCGCATATTCTGAGTAAGGATCACGACTGTTGTAAATGTATGCCATAGTGCTTTTCCCATAGCAGTGCGCTGCAAGTGGACAGAATTGGTTTTGTGGAGCAGTGTACCAACGGTGTGACTATACAACGAGTAGCCCGAGGTAGAAGGTGGAAGCTGAGCAAAATCTCCGGCTGCCACCATGTTCTTACCAGCAAAGGCTAGCTCTGAAATATTGAGGGCCAAGCACATTTGCGATGACATATTATAAAAGCTAAGACAATCAACCATGGATATTTCGTCCAAAAACACGTATGATACGTGTTGCAATCTCTCTCTTACCTTCTGAAGCGAACTTAGGGACTGGGATGGTGTTGAGCCAGCGAATCCTAGATATGAGTGATACGTTGATCCAGCGACAAGCGTAGCCGCTGCTGCAGTTGGTGCGAGTACAACAAATGCATAGGTCTCCTTGCGTTTCTCGAAGAAATACATGAGAGCTTTGATGACTTGTGATTTCCCGGTCCCTGCCATTCCTCCAAGATACATTCGTAGCTGTTGTCCATTTTGATGGCTGGCATGTTGACTGACTATTCTAAAAGCCCGTTCCTGTTCTTCGTTCAGACTATAGCGGAGTACAACCTCCTCTATCGTTATCTTCTCAGTCTCTCTACCGGATGAGAATGACTTCGTAAGGTAAGACTCGTCGACCTCTATGACGGCGTCCACATGCCCTTCCGATATCGACAGGACTTTACCGTTCTTCACTGCTTCATTCGCTTGCTTGACACGGTCAGCTAATATAGCATTTTTTGTGACCTGAAGTGCGGCTTTCCATTGCTTTGAGGTCTTAGCCGACCTATCAATAGAAGCAGCCAAATTGATGATTTCGTGCTGACCTGAGTCCTCGGTCCCATGTTCGGGTGCTCTATCGAGCCATCCTACATTGTGTAACGCAACGTCAACTGCATCCATCTTGGCATGATCATCTCTCCACCCTTGACCTCTGTTATTCTCCAGAGCCTCGAAGCGTTCCTCTGGAGTGAGAAGGGACATAATATCTTCTAGAGCATTAGTATTGTGACCCGAATCGGCGCTATTATCTTCGCCAGTGTCAAATACGGGTAACTTCTGCTGATTCTCTTTGAGCCGTGCATTGTAATCGTCCCGTGCATCATTGCACTCATATTTGATATGCATGTTCTGCATAGCAGTACTCTGTCGAATTGTCCACTCATGATTCTCATATGCATGCTGCCAACTTTCGTTATCAGACTTCAGTTCTTTACCGGTGCGCCAAGGCTTGAAAAAAATGAGCATAATCATGCAGTATTCTTCTCTATTTCCTTGATCTCTTCTTGGTAGTTTCGCTCCTGCAAGGTTTAGAGCAATATCAGATGTTTCTGGTTCGGAGTTCACATGGTGACTAGGGTATTGCGAGTGACTGGATAGAAATACCTGTTGCTGCAAACCTGTCTCCCACAGACTTGGAAGGCGACTTTTCTCGGAATCCTGGTCAAGTATAGATGATTGTCTCTTGCGCTTTCTCTGAGTCGGCTTTGAATCGTTGTTGACTTGATCACCAACTTCAGCGGCTGGACGAGCATCTCTCATTTTTGGAGTTGATTTATATTTCTTTGCCAACCGCCACCAGTCCCACAAGGGCATGGTGTCGTAAGATGTCGGTCTAAGAGCATAGTCCTCTACGTGGTTAACTGGGACTATCCTGTCATCGACACTTGCTAGCATGACTTTGTCCTCATATTCGCTCTGCTCCATGTCAGTGATACCCCATACATCCTTGATATATTTTATATATGGGGTCCAGTATATCGTTCGGAAATCATGACTACGATAAACGTCCGGATGTCCAAGGAGATACATGCACGCCATGGGGCCACCAATTGATGATTTTGATGTCAAGGCATTCACCATCTTCACAAGTATAGTCCGTGCATCGCCTTTCTGCCTAAGACTTCCTCCGATGCTTTCGACATCACCCTGAAGCACTGACAGTACGGTCTCAAAAAGGACATGTGTTTGAAGTTGGGGCTTAGTAACATAGTCCGTCACATATGCTACAACCGCTTTGATGGCCGTGCCCGATAAAAGGCTAGTCACATCGGAATTGGACCTTAACAGATACGTGAGGGCTGTCGAAAATGTGTTGATCCAAGCCTCTCCCTTTTTAAGCTGAAGATACCCAGTTTCTGGATCAACAGCTGTTGAAGTACTAGTTTCTCTCGGATATCGAGCTTTACATGAACCATATTTATTTGATGAACAATGTGAACCACACTGGTGGCGATTTGTTCGCCACACCAGCTCGTTCACGGTGTCTTTGAAGCCTTCCCACCATTTATGATTAGAAGCGCACTGCGAACATTCACTGTCCGGGCCATGAAGAAGAAATGTTTTACATGGGGGTGGAGCTGATGTCGGAAGAGTCTCAGTGGGTGGAATATATCGGACACCGTGACCAGTTATGGCCGTTTCTCTGTTGTCCACTTCAGCGGCAATGTCTTGCATGGTTTTTTCATCGAAGAACTCACCCATGTGGGCTGCTTCTAGGTACTGCACAAGCTCTTGCTGGAACAATGACTGAGTATTGAGTATTCGGTCTCTAATTTGTTGAGGAGTCAAGGCGTTCAGGATCCAAATCAAGATGTGTAGATGGAGTGTTAATCGCCCTTGCTGTTCAACGGTCCCGTAATAACCCGATACTCTGCCAAATAAACCATCGTGATCGACACCTTGCCCCAAAACGTGCTTGATAAAAAGTGTGACCACGATATGGAAAAACCGAGCACTGGCAACCGGGTTCCTCCCTACAAGTTTCACCTTCTGCTCCGGTGTTAGTACATCGGCTACAAAGTGCTCCGAGGACGAAGGTGAGGCAAATGATAGACATAAAGGGCTATTCTGGTCAGCTGGCGCTATTGTGATAAACCAACTCGGGGCTCCCAGGTGTGTAATCATTGACCATGCTTCACTTCGTTTCCACTTTTGTGCCGTGCGGGACCCCTGTACTTTACCGGCAACATGATCTAGATCATTCAAAAGACGAAAGCATTCTTTTTCTGCCTCATTTGATGACTCGACATACTCACCGGAGCTTAAACGAGTTATGAGGGAATCGAGGACAGTAGTGTCAAGAGACAGTACTCTTTGAGATACGGATGCAAACATTTTTTTATCTGAGAGTAGATAACCGCCGAGATTTGCTTTGGATATCTGCTCCTGATTAAAGGCAACAATCGGAAAAAGAGGATCGAGCTGAAAGCGTTTATCGTGGTACATCAAGAGTGCTTTCATTCGTACAGACCGAGGAACTGGCTGTATACCGCGGTCATTTTCTATACCTCCTAGTCCATAGGGAAAGAGCCATGGAAATGCTTGAGGATAAAGTTGAGGATTATCATAGGTTGACTGCGGTCGCTCAGATCTACCAACACCCAATGCCTTACCACCATTCTTAAGATGTTTGAGAGACTCCGCTGCGAGTAGCTTACCGGGTGCCCCGTCTATATGTTCTCCAGTTAGACCATGTACAATGAAATTACATTCACCTGAGGCTGTGGCAGACGGATCTTCGGTCTGATGTAGGGCCAAATTCTCATAGGGATCATGATCGGGAACCTTCGTGAACTGAACAGATACTGGAGGGATATTCTCGGGATATTCATTTAAATTTGCATACGATATCTCGAGATCGGCGTAGTCGCAATGGTTGAGTTTGAGCCACTCTAGAGCTCGTTTGACTTTATTCTTATTCACAAGCAGAGGAACGCGTTGATGGTCCTGGACATGCGGGCGAGAAGGTCCAAGAAACACATATGCCAACACTTCTGACAGCTCGGCAATAGAGGGTGGAAGGACCCGATACACCTTTGGTACTGGAGACTCGAAGAATACAGCATTGCCAGTCATCTTGCTAAAGCCTGACTTTGCTACTCGAGCGACACACCGATTTGTCGTGACGCGTGCAACCAGCATTTTCTCCGCCCAACTCAACCCAGTTAGCTCTGGCGGTATATCCCCAAGCCAGTTACCATTGACTAGTGATAGTTCAGGTATGTGTCCTTTTCGTAGAATATCCAAACAGTTACCGCACACATGCGTACAGGTTGGATCCATGACAGGTCCATACAGCTTCATCTTATCTGTGCTCTCTGGAGTGCGTTCGCTCGCCGTGACATTCATCTCGCCCTGATGGAGCAGGTTTTCATCGAACAAGCCGCAACGGTACGGGGTAGACTTATCATCTGCAACAAGCAGACCGCATACTTTACAGCCTGATTCTGACCAGTTAGATGGCTGAATATCGTTGGCGTAACCATTAATCGCCGCTTCCGAAGCAGCTTTAGTAAGCGGTGGTGGCGGAAAATGGTACTCAACTACGTCGGCCTCCTGTGAACCAGGTAGTGCAACTGCATGTCCCTCCTTGTTCTTCCGTCGCTTCTGAGGATGAGAACTTTCTGGGACAACCGGGACCAGTTTTAATTTGAAGACAAAGTAATGGGTTCTGCAATGCGAACAGGTCTGATGCGCGTGAATAGAATGCCGAAGTTCTGAGACTGTAGCAATAGCTTTAGGTTTGATGCCATGTTTGAGCACAACACGGTCCAAGGTCTTTCGGCTCTCAGACTCTATCAGAGGCAAGAACGATCTCGTCACGATATAATCTTCCCCCGAGTAATCGGCTACCACCAAGGAGTGGACATCAATCAAAAATTCTGCGGTCCGATCTTTGGAACATCGCAAAGGATGCATTATGAAAGGCTCGAGCGTACTCGCACTGTATAGGGGTCTCTGACGACCTCCGCCTACATGATTAGGCACTGAAACACCTGTACCGGGCTGCATAAACACCGGCTTCGAAAGCAACTGGACTGGACTGGACTGGGTGGGCACTGTGCCCGAAAGCAACTGAACTGAATTTAACTTGGACACTATGTCCGTGGGTACTGGCACTGACTGGTACAGAGACGAGTCGGCAGAACTGGTCTGCATGGACGATATGTCCGAAGGGTCTAGGCCCGACTTGGATGCGAATGATCTAAGCCTCATATAAATATCGGCAAGGAACTGAAGTAATGTGGCACAATTGCCGTCAGTATTGCCATGTCGAAGTTCAGAGGACAAATAACATGCCTTGTAAGCAAGAAGAGCGAGAAAAAAGCACATTGTGCGGTATCTCCTACTCGAACACAGACAGAGCTAGCAGAAAGGAGCGTTCAATGAGCACTCAGTTTTCAAGAAGTGTTGTAAACGAGCTACTCACCAGAAGTGTAAATGCGATAGTACTAGCCATGGAAATGTTTCGAGTAGAGGAAGATCAAACACTGATATGCGTGTGGTCAAGGAGAAGCAGTAGGCAAAATGGAGGGCGGGCGACTACGCAGAGGGGGACGGATACCAGACGTGAAGCGCTGGTGCATGGGCATCTTATAGCTCTTATCGTAATTTGAAAGTACGTGCTGGAGCTACGGTGCCTCTTCGAAATGATAGCCACACGAGCTGACGAATACTTAATCACGTCCGCCTGTTGAAATAATCATGCATGCGTCGAGAGACATAGAGATGGCAATCACAATAAGCTTTGACTCAGTCGGAAGGCCGGAGTCCATCCTCATCGTCATGCCAGTTCAAGATTCGAACTTGCAGAGTGTTCAGGCAAGATCTCTGAGGCTCTGGACGTCAAAATATGTACACAGAGTGCACATACTTAGTGCCTTTTTGCTGCCGGCGGCTTGACACATCTCCACGGGCCCCATCATGGACGAGCGCGATAGCGATACATATTATGTTCAGCACGCGCAAACCGACATGAATACAACTGATTCAGCGAGACAAAGACCTAACAGAGGATTCGTTCGACTCGACCCAGAATAAATTCTACACATGCGCCTTGAACAGTCGGCGATGAGCGTATGAAAAATGCCACACAATATGTATCAACCTTACCTCTTGTACCTACCTCTTGTACCTACCGATTTACCTGGTTGTTCTCAGATTACAACGCGAATCGCGGAATGTCGGTACCCTAGAAGAGATATTCTACCATTCAAAACAGCCATGCTATCAGTGTTTCATCGCCAACCCCTCCGCTCTTGGGCATAGTCACCCACCTTGTACGCTCAATTCCGTTATGCTAATATTTCGCCTTCGCTTATGACCCTTACAACTTCTGAGGCCGTGACTCTTTACGTGAACAATGTCCATACATGGTTGATCAATGATGGTGGGGAGACACTGTTGTCATCCGTTCTGGAAGTGGTGGGAAGGTCGAAGCTGGGAAGGCGAGAACGAGGATGATCAGGAAGGAGTCGAGCGGATGAGAATGACGTCCCTCTCAAGCCCAGTGATCGACGAACGCTCCGTGCCGGTGCTGTTGCTCAGTTATCAGCGATGGAGGTAATGAGATTGTAGGAAGATAGCTGGGCGTGTGGCGCAATACACAGTGACAGTCTAGAAAGGCGATGTCTGCACCGAAAGAGGTGTGATTTGATGAATTATAATCACAGCCAATTGACGAAAGAACAAGTGAAGGAGCAGAACCACTCACATGAATCGCCAATGTTCTCATATTCTTCACAAATGTCATCTTGTCACCACCACCCGTTCCTCAGGGCAGCCCGCCCGCCCACACAATGCCACGTCGAACAGACGAGGGCTGCCTGACTATGCTCACTGTCTGTCATGATATTGCGTAGTTCCCCCGCTGCCACTTCCAGAAATCCCGGGGTCCGCACCAGATCATGAACAATCATTGAAGAAGTGACGTGTTCTCAATGACTGCATACACTCTCGAGATAGAGCAAGATGGGGGAGAATTGAGAAGAGGAAAACGAGAGGGTGAGATCGAGTGGAGAAGAGAGAGCGCTAGGGACGTACGACTCGATCATCTATCAGTGACCACTCTGGAGATCGCTGAACAGTACTGGCGTAGCTTTTCATAGCTTCGACATTTTCAATGTTCTGCACTCCGCAGGTGACCAATCATGCACTCCCGGGGACAATGATGATTAGATTGGCAGAGCGAAGAGAAGAAAGACCTAGGACTCACCTTTGACGGGCAGGATAGTACACGCGCTATAAGGACCTACACACCCGGACAGATGTATCGTTTCCCGACGAGCGCGATCAGCACAGATGGTACCGCACATACCGAGTGATAGAAAAGCTGAGATGACATATAAGTGTCAGAAAGGTATGAGGACATGGCATTGCCCTCAGCGTAGCGTTTACTCGAACACAGGAAGCAAGGAGCGAAAGGCAATTCCACTGCGCCACCTTGTGCCACCCTGTACTGACACATGACCGTGGGTATCTGGCGCCAGAATTCGGTGGGCACCCTGCGGAAAGAAAAAGAAGCAAAAAGAAAACATTAACAACGATTCTATTCGTACCTCATGGAATCGTAACACGCTACGTGTTCCGGATAAATGTAGCACGGATGTCACAAAGCAGGAAGACGTACACTGTAATGGAAATGGGACTCGCGCTGAGACTAAACCGGTAGAACTCGAAATTAGGATCGAGTGACTTGACACTGAGAGCCCGGCAGCTGTTTCTGTGTCGAGATGCCTTGACTAGAGTGAGATGTTCGTGAGCGAGATAGGGGCCTATCAGGTGAGGCGGCGAAGGCTATTGTACTTCGCTCTGGATGAGCCTGTTGGTCTGATCGCCCACTCCACAATCGGCATCGGCTTCGGCTGGTTCGCTTTTCGAGTTCCTGCGAGGGGTTTGAAGTGAACGAAGTTTTGCGTTGTATGTAGCTTGATATCGGAGACGTTCGGGTCGGCCTAATGACATATGCAGTGGAAGTATCGTGTTAGTTTGCACGATGATCAAGACGTCGTGCAAGCAGCATAG